CCCCCACGGCCCCCTACGACGCCCGCAGCTCCAGCTCTTCTGGCTGCCCGTCGCCAGCACCGCCGTCCTCCGACCCGGACGACGCGCCCCCCAAGCTGCTCCCCGAGACCCTGGGCCCGTCCGCCCCCGACTGGCGGGAGCCGGAAGTGCTCGACTTGTCCATCGCTCCCGAGTCGGGGGCCACCAGCAAGCGCGCCCCTCAGGAAGCCGCTGCTGCCGGCGCGGCTCTTCCCCCAGCCCCAGACCCCCCCGGGGCCGCCTCCGAGCCCGAGGCTGGGGACTGGCGCCCCGAGATGTCACCCTGCTCCAACGTGGTTGTCACCGATGTCACCAGCAACCTCCTGACGGTCACTATCAAGGAATTCTGCAACCCGGAGGATTTCGAGAAGGTGGCTGCTGGGGTGGCGGGTGCCGCGGCTGGGGGTGGCAGCAGTGGGACCAGCAAGTGAGGTGCTCAGCTCGGAGGGGGGCTGGGGGCGGCCCTCCTACCCAGGCTCTTACCCTTGCTTCGCCCACACCCTCAGACACCTCTGCGTGTGCTTTGCTTGTTCAAGTGGCTTGGTGTTGGCCCCGGAGGGGGCTGGGCAGTCGGAGTCCCCCGAAGCCCAGAGTGAGGAGGTGCTGGAGGGCGTTTGGGCACCGGGGAGTCTTCCCTGTTGTCTCGGCACCCTCCCTGCCCATGCAGTGGTGCCCCCGAGCCTGGGCTTCGGCTGCTCCTCCACGTTCCTCCCTCGTTTCTCCCCAGCTGGCTTCCTGCTCTTGCACAGCACCAGACTTCTCGGTGCTAACCCGGCGGCTGGGCCCTAGCAGACCCCCACCCAGCGGGCCGCCCGCGGGGCAGAGCCCCCGCAGGCGAGGACCTGGCTGTCTGGGCCTCCCCTTCCCCAGCAGGGCGGCGGCGGCCATTGGGCTGCTGCCTGGGTCTTCCCACCAGCTTGGTTTCTGGAAGAGGCCGAGCGGGGCGTGGCCCCGCCCTCGCCGGTGTCTCCGAACCCCTCCTGGAAGGCGGGAGGGGGGGCCGCCCTCGCCGGTGTCTCCGAACCCCTCCTGGAAGGCGGGAGGGGCGAGCAGGCACCTCGCCCCGCCTGGCGCCCAAAGGCCCTTCAGTTCTCTACCAAAGGTGCTTCAAGAACCTGCTACGGGAGCCTGTGCCGCGCCCCCGCTGCTCCCCGTTTGTGCATTGGGTGCTTCCTGGGGTGGGGGCCTTTACAGTTCCTCCCTGAGGGTCATGGAGATGCCACCCAGCCCTCAGCTTTGAACTTTCTGGGGAGGTCGGCCACCCCTGGCCCTTGTGGGGGCCATGCCCTCCTCTGGGGTGGTCAGCCTTCACTCAGACATGGCGTGGTGGGGGCCGGGGTAGAGCGGGAAACCCCCCACCCAAACAC